ACTACCAGTATCATCATTATAGAACGAGTATGCTCTGGTACAATCATGATACCGGTAAATAATATCTCCAGTAACCATCATTGCAGTATCATCATTATAGAACGAGTATGCTCTGGTACAATCATGATACTGGTAAATAATATCTTCAGTAACTAACAGTATCATTATTATGGAACGAAGAAACTCTAGCACAATAATCTGTAAATAAAGTCTTCAGTAACTGCTAGTATCATCATTTAGTAGCAGTTTGACCTGTACTTGCTATTATTGTAATTAAAGCATTCTCTGTGTAGTGGTATTAGCTAGTAGTCGTACGAAGTATCACCAGTAAGTTGTAGTATCAACAAGTATCGCATGTAGGATGTGTCATTTGGTACCATCGAAAGAAGTAGAGTCATGCGAAATAATAATATGACATACATGTATCTTGAACGGTTGTCGTCTCTTGGATGGCGATATAGTCTGCTAATTGACGTCATGAGTTAAAAGGTCAAAAAAGTGAACAATAAGGGTGATAATAACGATAGAATTTCAGAAAAAGGGTACTGAACAAACAGGACCAAAACCCAACAACGACAAAAGAATAGCTAAAACTCTGCTATTATAGTAAGTACAGGAGGAACGCACTACACACAAATAAAACCGACAAGACTACAAACCTGCGGACAAGACACAAACTACACAATCATTGAACTGTAGCATCCGTGTACTAACAACCGTACCCTGATATTTAGTATTTGTTCGAATCTCTAACACACTCACAACGGTACCCTGATAATTTGTATTTGTTCTAATCTCTAACTGCTAAAACACTCACAACGGTACCCTGATAATGTGTATTTGTTCTAATCTCTAACAGCTAAAACACGCATAACGGTACCCTAGATAATTTGTATTTGTTCTATCCTCCAACCACTAATGCGCTTATAACACATTCTTATTGTTGAATTCCAAGAACTTCATGGCTATAATAATAAAAGATAAGTATAATAACGGTACCCTGCTAATTAGTATTTACTCTAATCTTACAAGTTAGCGGTTACAGTGGATATTTAAATACAATTATCTCTTCAATGAAATAATATTGCAATTTTGGTGTATGCTACATTATGACAGTTCATACATTATATATATTAGATAAACATTTCATTATAACTCACAGAAATGTTTTCTTACAAGACGAGATTCTCTAGTCCCATTCGACAATTTACCATTTTATCTATCAGTTCGGAAACCATTTGAGATGTATGTTATGCTGTAGTTGTCGAGATGTTGTTTTGGCTTATTTGAAATAACAATGTCTACTGAAAAACTGACATTTGTACCAGCTCTACAGACACCTTTCGCATTTTATGTCAATTTTTGCGATATATTTTCCAAAAACGGACAATAAACGAAAAGGGTTATTCTATTTGATTTATTCTGTTAGGCGTATGTCGCTGCTGTGGCTATGGGTATTCAGATACTGTGTTATATTGTTTATTCATTTAAGTGATACGGTCGTCGCTATTATAATATATGGGATTGCATTGTATTATGTTATCTATTCTTACCAAGCTGTTGCGCTGTGTCGGGGCTTCAGCAAAAGAAATCGCATGGTTTCTGAAATTCGGTGAATAAAGAAAACTGGAAAAAGTTCAACGACTTGACCTTTTTCTGCATTTCGCCATCGTTATTCATATAACGACTGCGGTTGTTTCCTTTAAACAGGGGAGGGAGGGGTGGGGCACGGTGGGTAAGATGCTGGCTCGCTAGCCTGGAGGTCGGGTGCTTGATCCCTACATTGGCCAAGAAAGTTCATCCAGAATTTCCGGCGCTGTTTACCCTTTTGGACACGTGACAGATACGACCAACCAAATCGATAGACTCTCGCTTTGTGGACACGTGACAAAGATGAGCAACCAAACGAAATTTAGACAACATAACCACGCCTCTGAAGACGTATGGACAACAGATTTTAGAGAGACAGATACAAAATTGTCAGTCCTTAAAATAGAATATTCCCTCAGATTTGATCGGCTAGATTTTGCCATAGAGTAGAGATCGACAAAACCACGAATAAAGACCCGGGAAATCATCAACTATCATCCGTCGTGAATCCTATTGCTCATACTTGGATGGAGTGGAAGGGAATATGGAAAGTGTGAGACAAGAGTACGAAACGCTATTACATATTTTATCTTCAGCGAACGCATTTTTAACGAACTCCTTCTTTTTTAGGATGACCCGTGCACTCTACAGAAAGTTGGTCTCGACACGGCTAAATGTGCACGCTTCAGTTGCGTGTCTCGAACTGATTTCTGACTACCCCGCACTCTCTTTGAGTCGATAAATAGCCATGGCACGTGCAATCCTCTAAAAATATATCAACTATTACAGCCGTAAAAAATATATTGTTGACGATTTTGAATAGCAGTAAAATTTAACTTCTTGGTTATTACAGCAGCTTTAGATATTACGTTTGTTTTATTTTTTAAATTGATTTATCATTAACTGTACCGTTAAGAGCGGCATCTTTTGGTTTAGTACAAATAATATCTCTGAATCACTTTCGTTAGCAGGAACATGATACTAGCAGTAGTTTCATTTTACTTTTACAAGTTTCTTAAAACAATTGTTGAGTTGTCTAAAGTGCTTATTTCTAAATTCAATTTCTTGTTCTAGCTTTCTGTTATGTTTCGTAAAAAAGTAGTCTTGATTATCCCGACCTGTCAATCTGACATAGAATGGTCGATTGACTAGTTAAGCGAGACTAATTTCAAAACAAGGGCACGTAACCTATCTTTTACTCAAAAGTGTCTGGATGTTATGGACGACATTTGGAACCAGTTTTCAGTCTATTATTTATGTATTGTTTAATGGTCGAGAGCGAGACATTAAGTAATATATTGTAACAACAAGAGGACCGTCAGGTCCGAGTGTTTTTAAAATATATTACGCAATGTCTCAGCTCGAGACCATTAAACATCTTAAAATACAGACACTCCGCACGTGCGTTTACAGTGAAATACGTCACTCGAGTCTAATATTTGACAAGGTACGATTGGCAAGTTGCCCGTACGATTATTTGAAATAATGGTACGCCAACATCAAAGGGTGACGTCACATCTGTATTTTAAGTATTGTTTAATGGTCGAGAGCGAGACATTAAGTAATATATTGTAACAACATGAGGGCCGTAGGCCCGAATGTTTTTACAATATATTACGCAATGTCGTAAGCTCGAGACCATTAAACATCTTAAAATACTGACACTCCGCACGAGCTTTTACGTCACACTAGTCCAATATCTCACTGGTATGAATAAAGTACTATTGGCAAGTTGCCCGTACGATTATTTGAAATAATGGTACGCCAACATCAAAGGGTGACGTCACATCTGTATTTTAAAGATGATTAATGGCCATAGCTAATTAAGTACTACAACATGATCGTTTATTTAGTGACTATAATTGTGTGAAACTGATTTGAGGCTTGGCATATATATAAATATTGTGGCGTAATTGTCGAGATATTTGGAGATATTTATTTATGGTGGGTCACCCTATCTTTTTGTCGTTTTTTATAAGTCTACAGTTGACCAGCTCTATGCAATGATAACAGGGACACAGAAAGAAGGATTTATGCATCATCTTCTGACGATAACACAATTATCTTTATTTCAGATGGCTATCATTTTTTGTGAACGTATATTGCCGTCGTCCCTGTCTGTGTGTCGCCCTCAGACCGCAATTCTTAACTGATTGTCTTGAAACTTTACATACTTACTCCTTATACCCTGTTGATTTTGGTGCATGTCCGACCCCAGGGGCAGCCACACCCTTTTTTGTATTTGTTTGTTTGTCGTCTAAAGGTAGCATTTCTTAACGGATCCACTTCAAACTTTGCATACTTATTCCTTATACCCTAAGGATCATCACTATTGTTTTTGGTACATGCCCAACCCCAAGGGGGAGAGCCTGTATGTTGCCTACAGGGCACAATTCTTGACTTATAGTCTTGAAACTTTACATACTTATTCCTTATACCCTAAGGATAATCCCTATTGTTTTGGTGCATGCCCTTGATGCATGCCCTACCCCCAGGGACAGAGCCACGCCCAATTTTTGTGTTTATCGTTTACAGGCCGCAATTCTGAATAGATCAACTTAATACTTGGCATATGTATTCCTTATAGCCTAAGGGCGTCAACTATTGATTTTGGTGAATGCCCTGACCCCCTGGGGCGAAGGCCACAATTCTGAATGTCTTGTGTTTCGCCTACAGGCCACAATTCTTGACAGATCCTTTTGAAACTATGCACACCTATTCCTTATACCCTAAGGATGACAACTGCATGTCCCGACCCCCAGGGGCAGGGCAGAGCCACGCCCAATTTTTGTGTTTATCGTTTACAGGCCGCAATTATGAATAGATCAACTTAAAAATTGGTACTTGGCATATGTATTCCTTATAGCCTAAGGGCGTCAACTATTGATTTTGGTGAATGCCCTTACCCCCAGGGGCGAAGGCCACAATACTGAATGGATTATTTTGAAACTTGGTATACTTATTCCTTATACCCTAAGGACGGCAACTATTGATGTTGTCATTTCAATAACAGGGTGGTGCCTATTTATATTGTTCCATATTCAACCCCCAGAGGCAGAGCCACACCCGATTTTTGTATTTATCATCTACAGGCTGCAATTCTGAATGGATCATCTTGGAACTTTGCATTTTTATTCCTTATACCGCAAAGACAGCAACTATTTATCTTGGGGCAGTTTCATACCCACTTTTTTGTTAATATTTTGTCTGTAAATTTGGCAAAACAAACCCAACGCCTAACCTTCTTTGCCTCTTGTCATATTACAGCCATTTCATATTTCATTGTCTTCATTTTAAAAAGTACCATATCAATCAAAGCTGGAATGTGGACGTATATTGCAGCGTTAGCGATGCTCTTGTCTTTTAGGAGCTTATATTAGCGTTAAGGTGATAATATCTTCTATTTTCAGATAAAGAAACCCCTAGAACACGTGATGAAGATAGACACAAGAAATTGTTCACATGGTTTAATGTCAACGGTAAATAAATACTGTCTTATAATTCGTATCTTTTGGTTACTTATCCTGTTGGTAAAACAAATACTGGCTTATAATTCGTATCTATTGGTTACTTATCCTGCTGGTAAAAAAATTATTGGCTTAAAAGTTCGTAACTATTGGTTACATATCCAGTTGGTAAAAGGGCTTTATATAAACCACGATAACCATTGTAGGACTACCGACCATGTTTGTTGTCTCTAATACAATGAATGAGATGCGTTTAACATTCTACTTTTCTGCACCAACCGGGAAATGAAAAGGGCATCTGGTATATAGTGGACAATGGGGGATATCTGGCCCGGGTGATGGCGTTTGCCGCTACACTTATCCAATTCCAACCCACCAGCACCATAGTCACCAAGCCACCGTAGAGACAAAGGTTTTAATACCCAGACTGCCTGTAATTGACTGATAACGGCCTGTATGTACATTGCTGGTAAAACCAGCTTCATGGATACAGTGTAATCAGTTTAAATATATATTACAGGTTTCATTGTTTGCAGTAAGACTGATGTCGCCACCTACCGGCTTTACAATATATGAATTGTTTGCAATAGATACAACAACTATACTAACGGTACGTTGGATTTGATCATTAAATAAATAAATTAAATTTAAATTGACGCAATCAACTCTTTGGAACTGTGATGAAACATAACCCTTGGTGTAAATTCTTGTATTGAGGACGAGACCTACTGACTCTTGAGGCATACTGACCCTTGTATTTGTCGTTGGATATACATGCAAGACAAGGTATTTGTCGTAGAATAAGACAGTTAAGATTACGAATTGTGTTTAATGTTTTGTTGATTGAAGTTAATTAATGTAATATTGCTTATAGATTGCGGGGACGTTTGTAACGTACATCATTGTTATGGTACAGTTCGCTCAAACACCTGATGGTGGTTCTGTATCCTGCTCAAATGGAACTGGAACCTTCTGATTAAAACAGCTGAAACGTGTTCTCTACCTTGTTCAAATGGACCTGGAACCTTCTGATTAAAATCGCCTGAAGACGTTTCTCTGCCGTCTTCAAAATGGAACTGCTTCAAACACGTTAAAGTGGAACTGTGATATAATATAAAGAACTTGTTTGTATCAAATTTCAACACGAATATGAACTCCCTTAACTTTACAATTCAGGGTCCGCAAAACAGGTTTAAAGGCGTTCTAAGCATGAACGAAAAATTCAAATTGTAATCAGTGGCTTTCCACCTGTTTATGCTTACCCTATGAATCCAATCATAACCAAACAGTAGACAAACTAAATCAATTTCTTTTACAACAATAACTAAGCTGATAATCTTTAAATGACATTCATGTAGTAACTGGATAGAGTGAAAGAGTATTCTCTCAACATTATCAAGCTAACTTAACTGTTTCAGTTAAAGAATAGTAACCATCTATCTTTATATTATGTCCATTACAGCAAAAATCAAGTTACATAGTTAAATTACCCAAATGATCCATAACAACTTAAATAAGTTAATTTATATGGTGTTTTGTTTCGACCATTGCTTTGATGTTGCGTGGCATATGTTTCGAACATTGATTTGGTATTGCCTGTCCATGTTTGCTTTGATTCGTTCGTGGCCTTACCCGTCCCCGAAATAATGTCTCCAACGTTGAAATATTTAATTGTAAAATGTGTTACGCCTTAAATGTATTACCGGGTCCTTTGAACACATTTCCAAACCTTGTCTAGTATTTTGAAACTCTACATAAGCTTCATGTTGCAGCAATTCCCCAATAAAAAACATTCTATGAAGCAAACCATTTTAAAACAACAATTCGTTATATAACTTTTGTAGTTCTGTTATATTTAAAACAACAATTCGTTATATAACAATAAAGTCTGGTAAAAATTAAAATACCCGTGTTATAATTATGATTGTACAACAGCAACGTTATGGTGGTTACGCAGCACATTTTATTTCAAGCTTTGCTGTATTACTTTGAGCTTTAATTTGTATGTTTCAAATTTAATTTAATAAATACTGGAACGAAATATATGAATGAGTCTATAGACTTTGACAGCCATATATGGATGGACGGTGCACGTGCAACTAAAGGACGAATAAAACGTTCACAAAAGAGTATCTTTAATGACCAGGCAACCCTGGTCAAAAATTTTGGAAATATAGTCCATATTGTGTACTGGGGGTTTGGTTTGAAAACACGTCTTTATTCCAGAAGTGAATAAATCGAACTTCCGGAAAAAATTTACCTCAGTCCCGGCTTCTTCTTCCTTTCCCTTAAACTTAAAGGTACGGTAATGTTTTTTGGGGTGGATTATGCATGTTCATTATTTGTAGATTAAGAATCCAGAACCTGTCACCCTTTTTAAAATTTATATATTCAAGATGGCAGCCATGGGACATTTTTGGGTTATTTAGCTGTAAAATTCGTGACAAATTCCCTGTTTGAAGGTAGCTTCTACACTCAAAGCCATTAAAAACGCAATGTCAAATTCAAAGTTTATTTACTGCAACAACTTTTAACAAATGTACATAACAATTGACAAAATCGAGTTAACAAGCATCTGTGGATAATTTCAATGAAAGAATTCATTACAAATGCACAAAACCGAAACGTCAGAGAACCATGAAACCAAGCAGGGGTCAGCTGAAGTCAATATTGGGTATGTCTCACCACACGCTGTGGGATTGTTTGCCAATGATTTTTGAGTGCCTGTGCCAACTCTGCAACAGTTCGTGGTGGCACGGCTTGAGTTCGAACCCGTCGTCCAAGTTCATCCCAAAGGTGTTCGATCGGGTTCATAGCGGGCCAATCCATAACACGTACATGCCCAGAAAGTCTCTTGTCAACCTGGCAGCGTGTGGTCGAGCGTTGTCATGCTGGAAAACCATCTGTCGACGGACGCAATGTTGAGCCAGAAATGGAAGCAACACCGGACAAAGGATGGCGTCAACATAATGTTGAGCGTTGAGATTGCCTTTGACCACTACCAACTGAGACCGGAAGTTGACGTTGATAGCGGCCCAAACCATGAGGCCACCTTCCCCGAAACGATCCTTTTACAGCACGCAGTTACCAGCAAAGCGTTCGTGTCGACGTCGGTAGATACGGTGACGTCCATCAGGAAAAATGAGGTTGAATCGGGATTCATCCGAGAAGATGACATTTCGCCATGGTGTGTTGTGCAGATACCTCTGATTTGTGGCCCATTACTGTCTGGAAAGTGGATGGCGATGCAAAAGGATTTGACTTGGTAAGGTCGACAGCAGCGTAACCCAAGTGCAGTCAGGCGCCTTCGGACTGTTTCAGGGCTGATCTGACGTTGCCGTGTTCCATCAGTTCCCCTGGCAGTAGCAGTAGCTGACTGGAATCTGTTGCGCAGATGCTATAGTCGGATGTGGCGATCTTGAGCAGCGGTTGTTACAGGCCTAGCTCCAGGTCGGGATCGATCGGCAACGCTTCCAGTGGCGTGGAAGCGTTGTCTGAGGCGAGCAATGGTAGATGGGTGGACATTAAAGTGTCTGGCGACGGCTACCCGTGAAGCTCCCTGATCCAGCATGTCAATAGCTCTGTTCCTGTTTTCTAGTGTAAGGCGTGGCATTTCTCCGAAGTGATGAATGTTGCAATTTTGATCTGTATTTAAAGGGCCAGAGTGCAGGGAATGCACGTGCAAAACGTGTGATATGGGACTGCTTAAAATCGTAAAAAAGACAAGTATTGCGTTTGCACGAACAAAGTTTATACCGAGAACTCATATTGGGTTCAAACCCAGAACTCCACAAAAGGAGACCCATCACAAGTTTCACCTATGGGCCATAGTATAGGAAAGCCCAAAAAATCGTTTACCAGAAATATTTCACGAATTAGGCATTGCGTTTTTAATGGCTTCGAGTGTATAAGAATTCGACCAGCTGAATCAAATAAGCATGGGTATCCCTCTCAAATTGACGGCTAATGCCGCTAAAGGGTGGGGGGGGGGGGGCTCTTTAAAAATAGGGGCACATTTTGCCGGGAATATCATATAGGAGTGTAGTACATTGAAAATGGATTTTCGGATTCACTTAATTCAGATATAACCGTAAACATATGTTAATATAGTAGATGTAAGTAATGTGATTATGTAATACATTAAACTAAAGTTTCTCGGGGTTGTCGAATTCATATCTGAGCAGGTAAATGGGGTATGATTGCCTATGCTGTTCCTAGTATTCCCGTAAAAATGCAAATTCTTCGCAGTCTAACATGATCTGTGGGTGATCTTTGGGTCACACTTGTAGTGAAGCAATTAAAAGGCCCATGTTATTTTTAGACGTTTCTGAAGTTCAACTGTACCGTTAACGTTGACTGTTGATAAAACGGAAGTTAACATAATTTTCAGTAACTTCGTCTGTGAATTGATATTTAAACGTAACCTATACATGTGTTGTAAAGAGACTGCAGTATTTGTTTGGTGTGTGTGTGTGTGGGGGGGGGGGGGGGTATGTTAAAAAAACAAACAAAAAAAACCTCACTACAACTGGAACAATTAGTTTCCTCAGGTTTTGTGGAGGATGATTCGTTCTTTGTACCCGACGGCCCATGATGTCCCAAACATGTTCGATTGGGTTCAAATCAGAAGACATTGCTGGCCATGGAATTCGTGTCACAGCAGTATTTGCCAGATGTTGGTTTACAGCACGTGAACGACGAGGTCGTGCATTGTCGTCCATGAACAAGGGTCTTGTGGCAAGTCAGTGGTCATCGAAATGATCAATACTTTCACGATCCAGAACCTGCTGAATGTATCGAGCGCCTGTGAGTGAACCTTGTATAGTCACCAAATCCAGTCTACAGTCGTAGGAGAAGCCACCCCAAACCAATACGGATCCCCAGCCAAATGGTACTCTTGGCAAAATGTTCCTGGGGGCAAGATGTGTATTCCTAGTCCTGCATACGCGGGCTCTCCTATCAACAGCATGCAGGAGAAAACTACTTTCGTCGCTCCAGTGTATTCTCCTCCATGATCTTAGGTTCCACCTCTGCCTGTGCTCACACCATAACCTATGCTGACGCTTGTTGGTATTTGTGAGCTGTGGACGCCTGATGACCCTTCTGGCTCTTAATCCAGCAGCTTTGAGGCGGTTTCTCAGTCTGTTTGCTCAAGCGCCGATGAGGTAATCAAGCCTGTTTCAGAAGGGTGCTTGAACCAAAAGGCTGGCATCTAACATGCTTCCTCACCAGACGGCTTATTAAGGTGTAGTGAAACTGAGTTCTCATTGCAATTTCCTTGTAAGAAAGGCCTGTCCGATGAAGTCCAATGATCTGCCATCTCCATGGATCGGAAATTCTCCTTCGTACCATTGTCAATCAGAAGTGCAAAAAAGTGATAATGAGGTCGATACCGATACCCAATGCTTGTGGTTGTTTGAAACTTTGGTGTGTGCAACACATGGGTGGCAGGATTCACGTGCAGGTGGCTGCGTTCGCGAGAGACATTTTCCAATAAGTAACAACTTATTTTATCACCAATATAAATGGAGAGTTATATCGCGGGAAAGGTACTTCAAATGTTGTAGTGTTGGTTGGGAAGTATGTGATGATATTGAGGTGGTATTGGGTAGTATTGGCTAAATCGTCCCACCCTGGTTTAGAGTGAAGCAATTTGACTGAAATTCTCAGCATTTTCTGTTTTTATTATATTTTGTAACTAATATAGCGTGAACTGTCAGCTCTTTATCTTATCTTACCTTTCACATCATTTTAAGTATTTATTGTAATTTTAACCATTAGCGAAAACGTAACGTCAAATTAGAAATTCATTGTAATATGGACGTTCGACCATTAGCGAAAAACTTAACATCATTAAATTCTGTCGATCGGTAACCCCTTATATTTATTTTCAACAATCTGTCGGGATATGTCTGTGTTGCTAGGAATAAATGTCCATGTGACCCTGGATGTTAGTTGAAGTTATCTGTTTGGCTGGAAACATTTTATTTTCGACCAATTACAATCAGCCAATGCTATTCTAGCATAAAGATGCATTATTCAAGTGCTAAATCTGCCTAATACAGATATTTCGCTCGGCCTCAATATAAATAATTAATTAGACATTTATTTACATGCCAAACCCTGTTCTTCCAACGACGATAACTCTGCTCAGAATGGAGTGATTTGACTGAACTTTTGAACAATTTTTTCTTTTTATTATCTATTTTCTCACTAATATAGCGAGAACTGCCATTTCGTTACCTAAATCTTATACAATGGGTTGGGTTCCCGAATGGTTTATCGCGTGGGCATTAGATCATCATCTCTGTCATTGAGTCAAATACCGTGGTTATTACAAGGAGTATGGTAGCATGTCAACGCACAAGCGAATTATTGAAAAAAACTGAACCATATGTTAGTCCCGAAATAGACTAGTTTTGTTAAGTGGACGTTATACCCCATGTCTCTTTATCATACGGTGGGGGTGTCCTTATACACGTTGGTGGGTTATTTCATAGAAATTATGAAACGGTATCCCGTGTCCTCACGAATACCGTGCTAACACATAATGATGGTTCTTCCAACTATGACAATCGTGTCTCTTATGTCTAGGTCAATATAGCTTTCAAATTTACCTTATAGCAAGCACTATCACTATCCTGTCTGTTTGACTAGGACAATATCATTTTCTTTTTAACGTAGCAATCGCTATCTGGCGTTCACGAAATTCACATTTCCTTAGTGTAAGAGCCAAAACAACCTATTGCATATTATATAAATTGTATATATTAAATGTTATATATATTATTAATTAGACATTTATTAACATGACAAGACCTGGATCAACTCTCTACATCATCGGGTATATCAACATTTCCCTTGTGTAAGAGCCAAATCAACCTGTTGCATGTTATATAAATTTTATATATTAAATGTTATATATAGTATTTATTAGACATTTATTAACATGACAAGACCTGGATCAACTCTCTACATCATCGGATGCTCGCGATTTTCAGCGGATTTAAAAACGATTGGCAGTTAATGATTTTATTAAAATGGATAATCAAGACATTGTTTAGTACCGTAACAGTGGTATCCATACAGACCTAACTAAGCTCAGAATGAAGTAATTTGACTGAAATTTTCAACATATCCCCTTTTCATTTTCTATTTTTAGAGAGAACTGTCAGCTCTAAATCTTAAAAAATACATTTTTAAGTTTCTAGGTCGGTTAGTGAGTAGTATTGCACAGATTTCGCTTTATCGCACAATACTCATATTTCCGATGTTAATATTTTGCATTTTCTCGCCTACCAAACCCCTTGTAGACGTTATTGTGGCAAGACGCAAGAAGAGAGGATACTACCTGAGAATTCCCCAAGTAGTTAAGACCACTTAATATCCTACACCGGAACTAATTATCAATTGCGCCTAGCTTATTTGAGACCTCTGCCCAGAAGGTAAAGTAGCGTTCCACAAGTATGTCGGCCTGACTTTTCCTAACCTTAGTATATCAAATTTCGCCAACAATACCAGTGTTTTATTTTATTTATTACAACGGCGGTAATGGACGTGACACATGAGAAATAAAGCAATTAATGGAGTATTACAATAGAGTTACATTAACTATATCCATGATACAAATACACGATTATCTCTTTTCCCTTGGTAGGCTAATCCATATATATCTTCGTGTTGGTAGTCTCTTGGGGCAAATACAGCCTTGTCTGATATAACAAAGCATGTTACATTACAAACGTAATTTGAATATCGTTTTTTTTTAGATCGGTAATCAATATGTATAAAGTTGCATGTGTACGCTCTTAACGAGTCAAATTAAAGCCTTGCCCGACAGAAGACGCGGGACATGATTTAAATATGGTGTTATGGATGATTGTCTATGCAGTCGCACGTCTCTGTGCTGGATGAAACCGAAAAATACAACTTCAAATGGTCATTCAGAAGCTCGCAAAGAATACTTTATTGTGATATAACCAAATATGAATAAGTGCTAGGAGTCGACGTTTCCAAGCTATATTGGAAATCGCAGGTCTATCATAACACCTAATAATTAATTGCGTTTATTTCTTTTCACACACTTTCAAGTTGCCTTCTATTTATCACCCGATGGATGCACTGTGGCATACTGGATGTGAAAGAACAAACTTCATTATTTTGAGGTTAAGGGTGCACAGTTTCAACTAGTAACCCAGCTTGCTGAGGCATAGTACTTCATACATACAGCAAACATTCCAAAGTTGTTAACCGGTAACCCGAACTTCGACATTCCTTCAATAATGAAGAGAAATAAGATCAGGGGTAACGCTGATAAAAAGTTTATTCCAGCCAAACAGATGTTCAGGAAAATTATACAGTTAATGAGAATCGTTGGGATTTATCTACCAGAAGAACGCAGATCGTGGAAGAGAATTTCTTATTGGGGCTATATGATTATTCTTGCTATTTTCAATCTAATGTCATTAGTTAGACAGCTATGGGTGGTGGTGCATTCCATGAATGTTACATGTTATATTGTTTCTGTGGGCATACTAATTTATCATACAGGTATAGCATATTTTTACATGAGAGCTTGTTATAGAATCATGAAACATTTCGCTTTATTGATGAAAATATTAGACAACTATCGATCATGCTTTGGGGAGTTCTGCCGAGTTTCACAAATAATTAAGCTTATCCGATTCACTGAAGTTGTCGTTTGTGTAGTGACGCCATTAATGGCAGTTTCGGCTGTATATTATTCATTTGACTCGTCGATTCTGAGAGAGATTGCAGGCATATTTTGGCCCTTCAACCACAACACGCCATTAAATTCCCTGTTGGGTATTTTATTCTTCGGCTTTGAGAGCCTGCGCTCGTCTGGGTTGCAGTTAGTGCTGAGTGTTATCTTCTTTCTAATTTGGTACATCCTTATAACGGAATTTGGCGACATTGACAGAGCAATAAAAGAATTAATATTAAAGAGGTCTGAACCAAACAATCCTAAAATCATAAATGTCCAGGAATTAGCTAAAGATTTGGCACAGAAGAATGTAAACGTGGACAGCTGTGAAGAACCTAGAATTTCCAACTCTCAAGACAGAACAGATAAATATTTGAAAAAACTGCAAGATGAAACTACTGATTATTTGACTTATTTTCACAAACAATCGGAAGAGGAACTGGAGACTATAAGAAACCGCTTTGAAGGTTTACTGGATATTTTAGCTGCAGCTAACGATGTACTGGAGCACTTTATTGTTTCCTTATATTTCACATCTCTTCCCGTTATTTTCTTGCTGGTGTATGGAATCATAAAGGATAGTGCCAATACACCCATGCTGATGATCATATGTGCTATATCCATGTATAACTCTTCATCTCTTTTGTGGAATCTTTTAGCTGGGGCCTATCTAAGTCTAAAGGTAATTATGTTACAGTAAATTCAAATCATGGAAGAGCTTTTGCTCTGCCACTTCAAATGAACAAATCTAAAACGTCACGGCCTATACTTCTTGGAATTAAGTTAAAGTTACTTCATCGGTTTGATAGAAGAAGCCGGAAATGTATATTCTTTACATAGAGAAGAACTGGTGCTTATCTGGACTCTAGGAAACAACGAACAACTCGGGTAATAAAGAAAATATCAATCCTAAGAGTAATTAGTTTTTTGACAGATGAATACATTATCTTAACAGACACAAATGCAACGCTTCCATATAGCAGAACCGAGGGAAGATAATTACGATATACGTTCGGTCCGTGTACGGAACCCTTTCATTCCAGCGAGAGGAGGGTGGGAATAGTTTAACTCTTTAGATCATAAGATCTGTAATTTAGTCTATTGGTAGGGTTTCGATCCCACACGTGTACGTGACAAGGAGTGGATCCAACTTTCGGTATTTTCCCAGGGTCCTCCTGTTTCCTGCCATTGTCATAGACCACTATGCACAAGTCTGTTATTGACAAAATAATAAATAAACCATACATTAGTTCCGAAATTACCTAGTATATGTCGAGTGGAAACCCATTTTGCTCTCACATTTTCTTTCAGATAAAGAAACCTCTTGAATACGTGATGAAAATTAACATGAAGAATTCTTCAGTCAATTTATTGTCCACGGTAAGAGTCAAGTTTATAACTTTTATAGTTAATATCAATTTAATTTCCACGGTAATTAATATTATTTCGTTTTAGTTTTTATATTTTACATTATGTCATTTTGTTCTGTTATGTCGTAACGTTATTGTAACAGCATAGTAACGCATTAAAATGGCCTGACAATTCGGTTGATAACGACGGAAGCACTTTAGCCAAAAATTTAATTTTTAGTGTTTTTTCTCTAATATTTTAATTTTACTTCTAATAGCCTTGTCGAGCTAAATAAAAGTTTTAGGAACCTATCAAATTAGACTGATATTTAAAAAAAATAACTGCGTTTTGTTACTGATATTAAATGAGGATAATAAAGTAGCTACTCTCTTCTGATCTAGGAGCCGTAGCGAGTAAGCTGCTGAATCACCTAACCACCAGATATTTTTATACGCCCACATTTTCATGTGGAAGTATATTGCCGCCACCCCTGTCCGTCGACGTCCGGACGTTCGTCCGTCCGTCCACAATTGTTTGTGGACACTCTACAGGTCACAATTCTTATCCAATTTTGACGAAACTTGAAATATAGGTTTATCTCCAAAAGATCCCGATTCCTTTCGATATTGGCATGTATTATGGCCCCCTGATTGCAAGAAAAAAAATGTTTTTAGCTTGTGGACCCTATAGAGGTCACAATTTCTATCCGATTTTGTTGAAACTTGAAATGTAAGTTTATAACCCAAAGATGTCGGTTCCATTCGATATTCGCGCTTATCGTAACTTCCTGAATTATGACTCCTAATTGTACGAAAAATCGCGTTTTTAACTTGTGGACCGTATAGAGGTCATAATTTTTATCCGATTTAAAAAAAACACTTTAGTATATCACCTTTACACCCTAGGGATGGCCGAGTTCGTGAAAATGTACTTCAAATGTTGTAATATTGGGTAGTATGTGATGATATTGAGGTGGTATCGGGTAGTATTGGCTAAATCGTCCCACCCTGGTTTAGAGTGAAGCAATTTGACTGAAATTCTCAGCATTTTCTGTTTTTATTATATATTTTGTAACTAATATAGCGAGAACTGTCCGCTCTTTATCTAATCTGGTTGTGGACTCTCTAGAGGTCACAATTTTCTTCCCTCTGATTTTGATGAAACTTGAAATGTAAGTTTATAACCCAAAGATCTCGGTTCCTGTCGATATTCGCACATATCGGACTGTAACTTCCTGAATTATGGCCCCTGATTGTACGGAACCTCGCGTTTGTAGCTTGAGGTCCCTCTAGAGGTCACAATTATTATCCGATTTAAAAAAAACCGTTTGAATATATCACCTTTACACCCTAAGGCTGGTTGAGTTAGAATTTCGTGAAATTCGGATCAAAACAGTTAAAATATGGTATATCAAGGTTGTGGACCCTCTAGAGGTTACAATTTTCTTCTGATTTTGATGAAACTTGAAATGCAAGTTTATAACCCAAAGAACTCGGTTCCTTTCGATATTCGCACATATCGGACCGTAACTTCCTGAACTATGGTCCCTGATTGTACGAAAAGTCGCGTTTTTAGCTTGTGGACCCCATAGAAGTCATAATTTTTATCCGATTTAAAAAACCGTTTGAATATATCACCGTTGCACCCTAAGGATGCTTGATTTTGAATTTCGTAAACATAGGACCAACACTGACAGACAAAATGGCCGCCCCTCGTACTCAAATAGCGTAAAAATAAGGTATATGAATGTTGTGGACCCTCTAGAGGTCACAATTTTCTTCTGATTTTGATGAAATTTGAAATAAAAGTTTATAACCCAACGATCTTGATTCCTGCCGATATTCGCTCACATCGGATTGTAACTTCCAGAATTATGGCCACTGATTGTACGAAAAATCGCGTTTTTAGCTTGAGGTACCTCTAGAGGTCACAATTATTATCCGATTTAAAAAAAAAACGTTTGAATATATCACCTTTACACCCTAAGGATGGTTGAGTTCTCTATCCATCTATGTAAAATGTGGTCGTATCCTGCCTGGTAGCCGCTGGTTGTTTTGTGAAATTACATATTAATGTTCTATTCTGTGTTTATGTTTTAGGTTTCGTTGTTAACAGCTAGATTGAATTCATCACCTATTGGATTTACTGTGTGTGACGTGGTCACTATAGACACTACAACTATGTTTACGGTAAGACTACGATCCAAGTCACACTTACTTCTTTGGAATGCACGATATGACTGCTCACATATTCAGGAAGGTTAATGCCGATTCAAGGCTTTGTTATCTCCTGTTAAAAGACCAAGAACATACGTGAAATACGTATAACATATCTATTTATCCATATTAGAGTAATATTTCTTGGGCTACTTCTTGAACAACGTCTGCTTCCACAAAACCTTCTCGCCCCTCATTTTTAGTCATTTGTCAATTTCATTGTATATTTTTTGTTTTGTTTACAGATATTTGGCACCTTGTTAACCTATGCTATAGTAATTTTTCAATTTGCCCAGACTGCGGATACCAGTGCTCCTAATTACCTAAATGCTACATTCGTCCAGTGAAACTACTGTTGTTGTTTTGTTATTATCAATAGCACACCCCATTCCTCCATTTCCTGGAAGACTTCGGCTAATTTTCGGATATTTAAACTGCCAGTTGTAAATACTATTCACCCCATTATTGATGACCGACAACCCACTTTAGTTTTTTCTTTTCTTTTTTGTTTTGGTTATTAGTATTATTTAGCTTAAATGTTCAACCTACAACCCTTTAATAGACTCTCACTTTCACCGAAAACAATTAACTACCATAATGATATTTATTAGAATTTTGGTTGTTTTCGTCTACTTTAGACTGAATACTTTGATGATTATATGTAATAATATCGAGTCAAATATCATTTAAACCAAGTTATTAAATCCATCTACCATTTATTCGATAATGTGGAAATGTCTAGATCGTCTGACCGAAATAAGCATTTTTCAATAAAAAAAACTTAATCCATTAATTAGTCAGTTTTGTTTAATTCTAGATGTGTAGTGAAACTTTCTGACCTTTAAACCATTATAATGTAGGCACGAATTCGATGTAGGTCCATCTGATTCAAATAGAGATCTGTATTTCGTTTCGTTTTTTTTATACTTTTGACGGCCTCCACTGCATAGAGATCTGACCAGATGTAGTAGGAGGTCGCGTCAGGGCCACACGAGCGCCTTTTGACCCCATACTTTTGATTAACCAATCAGCGTTGATGTTTCTACTGGGATACCCACAGTTCCGTGCAATGCACACCAAGAACTGGCCGCAACAGACCGTTTCATTGACTAATCACTCACATCAACCAGAACGCGGGTTATAAACAACTCTTCCAGATCCTAGAATAGTAAAGACAAGCAAAAGAAAATTTTGAACTATAAAATAAAAACGAAACGATATAGGACCTTTGTTTTAATCAGATTGAGTTTAGATATTTCACGAAAGTCTTTTGTCAGAACCAACTTATGCCTCTGTGGTGAAGGTGTTTAATCCCGGTGTTGGCCAAGAATTAAGTTCATCGGGATTTACCAGCGTGCTTCCACCATGTCAGTTGTGCAACATGGAGGGTATGGCAAGGGAATATGTATAGTCATTCGGATCTGACCACAAAGGAGGTCCCTTGCATAATTGACGTACACGTAGATGAACCACTGGTAGTTGGAATACTATGTAAGAGTAGGCTATATCGCGACTGTCTAGATAAGCAAACACTGTAAATCCAGTTATTTTTGTTGGTTGAATTCATTTTCAATTATTTTCGAAAGGTTTTAAAAATCCCACAAGAAACACGACAGTCTTGGATATTCTTCCATTAATATGGACATTAACTTTGGTTATGTCTGGCATCAATACTGCTGGAATGGACCTAATAGTATGGCCTTTGGAGAGGGGTAAGAACAATTACGCTATGCAAGGGCCCTAACTCTCTGATGAATCATTATCCTATAGCTAGGTATAGATTAATTAATTTAAAGTCATAACAAAAAGAAATCATAAAATTTGCAAAAGATTCATAAATAAAAAAAATAGTGGTCTCCTCCAAGGACCAGAAAATTTTCACGACGCCAAATGTCAAAACTCCAGAAAGTCAAATGCAATTATGCCGCTTTGCAATTGCTATCTTCCGATCAGATTTGTTATCCTAATGTCTGAAACATAACATTGATGAAAGTGCAATAAGTCGGGAGTGTAACTTGCGAACTGGGCGGTCGTCTGTATGGAGCGGAATTTCTCTAACCTAGTAATGTGTATGCCAACATGCTTACTTCTATGCATGTAAATTCTTACTAACACATGTTAAATTGGCTACTTACACATCGTGTAAAAATGCTAATTTATATGACTTATTTCTTAAATATTGCCGTTAGAATTTTGTATTTTATTCTTTTCCATTATTACTTTTAATTTATTGCAGTCGGTTTCGTTTCGTTAACATTTTGATATTTCACAAATGTTACGCGATAAAGGTGTCATAATTTTAACGCTCATTTGGGTAACAGATGGCGCTGTTTACAATTGTATGACTAGTATGAGGGCTGATTGGGGACATTTAAAATCTCTCCCTTTTCATAACCCGACAGACATGACGATATTTTTCTGTCAAAAATAATAAAATATTTTACGTACAAAAGCAAATTATTCTAGATATTTATACAATAGATAAATAGGCTTCTTTGACGTTCATTTTCCCTAATATTGCCATATCGATTGATAATAAAATATATAGTAACAACTCATTACGTTATGCATGAAAATGAATAAATAAATAGAAATAGGTAATGATTAGTTTAGTTTATAAAATTATGAAATATTTTACGCCCACAAGTAAGCTATTTTTGATATCTTTGAAGTAATCTAGCTTTATATCGGGCCAAGCTTCCAGATCATCGGGAGTGGCGGTGGCTCGGTGAGTAAGTCAAAGGCTCGGTAACCAGAAAGTCTCAGGTTCGCTCCCGTAGTTGGAAGAGAAAGTTCCCCGGGTTTTCCGGCGTGGTTTCGCCTTGTCAGTGGCGCAAGACGGAGTACCGGACAAGGAACAGTGTCTACTGGGACGAAACACCAATTTTGTGCATGAAAAGGAACCCTTGACAGTTGGAATTAGAAATAAGAGTAGGCCGTAGCGCCCCTGTCTATGCAGAATCCCCTCATATTGCACACATGATGGCGTATGTCCATCTCTATTAGCACAGTCGGTACAGGACATTAAATTCTATTTCATTTAATTTCATTTCCAAAAGATTTCTTGATTCATTGATATAATGGTAACTGAAAATATTTACTACATTATAATATAGTTGATGCAATGATATTACGTGTGTAGTGTATTTATTATTGTTGGGTTTATTACGATATTCCATTCATAGCCGGTCGATTTAATCTATGATTATTATCAGGTTATAAAATAAATATCCTATGTAAATATTTACACAAAGGAGATTATAGATTAGCCTTACTATAATCTCATCAATTAATCTATGAAACCTCCGAGAAACTGTCTGGTCCAATCGTGGTGTCTTATTTAAAAAAAAAATAATATAGATGCCTTTAATCTTCGTATTTTTAAAATATAATCAAATAATCGCCATACTAATCTCCAAACTCTACAGGTCACACTTTTATCTGCTTTTGCCGAACCTTTAATTATGGCTTTATATCCCAAAGATCGCAGTTCCTTTCGATATTGGCATGTATCGGATCATAACTTCATGGATTATGGCGACACCATTGTACGAAAAATCCCACTATAGCTTGTGGACCCCTAGAGGTCACAATTTTAATAAGATTTGCTGAAACTTTAAATATTTGCTTATAACTCAAAGATCACGGTCCCATTATTAACATTGAGAAGACAGTTGCTCCAACTACAGATATATCACTATACCACAATCAACTTCGGAGCCCTTAGACCATGAATGTTTTAATCATCCCCCTGGCATTAATAATTCCGCTACACAAAAGATCCCTTGACACGAAATACATTACGAGTCAAAGAATATGGCCAACTCAATAGTTTAAAATATGACAATTGGTAGTTAGATCCCTAAGTGCTCTAGACCCTCCAAAAAATATTCAGCCCTTTGTTCCCGATAAAATAACTATATTACAAGCGTATATGACCTGGTTCATTCCGGGACTAACAGTTGTTATGCTTGTTTTCATTATATTGTTTAAGCGTTTTTGTTTATGTTGTTATACGTGTTTTCGTTATATCGTTTAAGCGTTGTTGTTTTTGTTTATTACAAATTTAACGTTCAATACATTATGCACGATATTATAAAATAAACGCGGGGGGGGGGGGGTGAAAACATAAAATAGCTTTTGTGTATACAAATGCCACCCCACCCCCAAACACGGTGTTAAAATTCGCTGTTGTAAGAAGAGTAGGCGGGTCATCGTCTTATAATATAATCAAGTTAAAACATGGGTCTAGCTGATTAAAGCCTGGGGGCGGCATTTGTTTTGGACGCCTGCTGTTTCCCCATGTAACAATAAAATGTTAATATTACTCTCGGATTAATAAAGGTGAATCAACGGTTTTTTTAATAATAATTATTTTACGAGCTATTATTATCGTTAATAGTAACAAATACTATATTTAAATAAATGAACGAGTAAATATTGAAACCACAGGTACTGAGTACGACTCTATCTACCAGTAAATTAATCCTCTTAGTTAAAACTACACCGCTTGGATTAATAAGATTAATTCTATTACCATGCATACATCGTTTATATACATTTACAACTCAGTTCTAATTATACCTCAACTCATTAAACTTAATTCACTTAATTCGGCTTACGTTGATTGGCGAACGAAAGGGGGGCAATCGGGTCCTATTTATTGCAACCTGTCCTTTGATTGGCTTGAAGTGGATATTTAACTTGATAATAAGTCGTAAATAGCTTACGTTTGCATGTTTTTCTAGCGCGTTTTGCATTAATATAAAACTCTCGTTTCTGAAACTATTTTTATTCTCTTCCTGTGACATCTTATTATACGCATCAGTATATACATTTTGTTGAAGTGTAACCCATGACATCTATAGTTAAAAAGTTATCTGTAACTTTGGAACTTGCTACGAAAATCAACCATTAACAGTAAAGTACATCGAAATTACATTATCAAGTAAGTAACACTTTTGCTATTAGAACCAGAATATGTAGTGATATCTCCCCAAAATGGACCCCCTTTCTTCTGAAAACCATGTTCCTAATGGCATCAAATTAATTAGATGAAATATTTTGTAAAATATCTAAAAAATCATTAAAAGCGTGAATAGAAAAAAAAAAAAAAAAAAAAAAAGAGAGAATGAAATGGGATAAATCACCACACATAATTTACACAAACCAAATCTACGGACAAGACACAACACGCAGAAATCACAAACATACGTACATATCAATTTCATGAAATCAAGAAACCCCAATTTCATGAAATCAAGAAACCCACGAGGTTAGTACGACGTCACTACTCCTTGTCACGTACACATACTGGGAAACGAAGCCACGCCACTTTGACTCAATGACAGAGTCAACGACAGACCTTATGATCTAAAGCTCACGCGTTCACAAATTCCCCCCCCCCCATCCTCAAAATAAAAAAAAGCAGTACATTATGTGAACAACTATTTTGTTTTCATCCCAGTCATTTCCCGTCTTTCCTGGAGGTCGGGTGTTCAATCCTTGCATTGGCCGAGAAAGTTCATCCCGATTTTCCGGCGTGGTTTCCCCTTGTCAGTGATACAGGACGGAGGGCCTTACAAGGACAGCTGTCTAGTCGTTCGGGTGGGACGAAATAACGAGGTCCCGTGTACACATTGGCGTGCACGTAAAAGATCCCTTGGCAGTTGGAATTCGATCTAAGAGTAGGCCGTAGCGCCGCTGCCCGGGGAAAATTTCACTCATAG